GTAAACAGCGTTTCGCTAGCTACTGTAATTTTGGAGTTACGATTTTTTAAAATTTTTAACCCCCTCCCATACCCCCTTACCAACCACCCACCCCCACCAAAAACTAATGGCCAGATTCTCGGGTGCCACAGTATTTTTGTGCCGAATTTGGTTAAAATCGGTTTAGCGGTTTTTGAGTTATCGTGGTACAGAATACAGACAGACGGACAGACGGACAGACAGACAGACACCATGAAAATATTTTGTATTTAGGTCATTTATGACCCAAATTACTCATTTTGAGTGAAATTAAAAAAAAACTTTAACCTACCATACCTGTTGGTATGGTCGGCTAAAAATAACAGGCTGACATATTAATGCGAGGAAGTCCAGTATTGTCGTTGTTATCGAAGATATGAATAAAAGTTTTATACAGATATTGCGTGATTTTATAATGGTGCATATCCTAAAAATATTTTGTTTTGGTTTGGGCATATTTCGTGTGCGGGATGCATGATTATGATAAAAATTTTAAATTGCACCTTTCATTTTTCTGTAGATAACTGGATGTATCATAAAATTCTGCATATAGTACGCTATTTTTATTTCCAGCGCTATGCAGTGTTTACCATTCTATTTCATATTTACTGAAACTTTGGTTAAAAACACTATATCCGAAAAGTGGTTAAAATCTAAAGTGAGTATAACTTTATTAACAACATTTAAGAATAACAGAATAACCGCAAAACAAAATTTACATTATGCTATACAGAGTATTCTTTATGGAGTCAACAAAATCAGAATATTTAAAATGCTATATTTCTATTTTTTAAATACAACACCCTGTATATTATTTTTCGTTTAGATGTAGAACCACCTGTTATAAAACTATTGAGTAATAAAACTACCGTATACATAGTACTAATAAAATATACTACTAATAAAACTACCGTACCTGTATAAAACTACAGAAAAATAATATGCCACAGTATTTTTGTGCCAAATTTGGTTAAAATCGGTTTAGCGGTTTTTGAGTTAGAGCCGTTGCACACACGCCGGAACCGGATAGACGGCACCGGCTACCCGGTTTCACTATGACCTTTCACACTAGTCCGATTTTACACCCGGTTTGATCCAGTACAATTGCATTTTTGATCGCGACGCCGACGAGACGGTATAGAACGTGAACATATTATTGTTTTGTGGTTTTGAATCGTGGCTGTCGTTATTAGAAAAGAAAAGCAGGGTAAATCATCTTTCAGTTTGATGTAAATTTCTCTCCATACTTGTATTCGTACTCCGTACTTGTTTCGTTTTTATATTTTTATAAATACAAGGTTTTATGCCAGTGGACTGGTCTGGCTTCAAACAGTGGTTGTGACAGCTTCAAACAGTGCATTAAAAAAGTATCTACTTCCAAAACACCACTTGCCGTCGCTATAGTTAACTTACAACGTACAAATTTTACAAATTTCCAATAATGCGAAACGCAAAGTCTCTCTCATATGAACGAAACCGGACGACTAGGACGGACAAGTGTGAAAGCGTCAATCTAAAACAATGTACTACTACGAGTTCGGACGACCGTGCTGGCAGTGGTGGTATCCGGTGACAACCCGGCGCGAATCCGATTCTTGTCCGGCGCCGGCTCGTGTGAAAGCTCCCATAAGATGCTATGCACCTCATCCCCGGACGGCCGGTACCAGGTGGATGACACTTCTTATGGGAAAACTGGCAATGGTTGAAAACTTGACTACAAGCGATTTTCTAGGAATCTTCCTTACCGATAAATTATTGACAAGAGTGACAGATAAAGCCTTGACGTTCTTTCAGTATTCCAGTTCATCTCTTTTTCTTTCTAAAGTCTGCGTTGAAAGGAGAACTAAAAACAATTTTGGTGACCCATAATTTGTTATTCGAACACCACTTTCTTGGGTCGTTGACGTTGACTTGTCATATTTATTTCTTTTAATTTACATGCTGCATTTGCTTTGCAAATGTAATACATAAATTATTTAGGCAAATATAGGTTTTTAATAAAACTCATAGTTGCTGCGTAGGTAAGTGTTGATATTTTTCATCTTAACACTCATTGTCGTTCTCTGATTTTTAGGTGATAGAAAAGAGATCAATCAATCAAATTGAATTTTATAACATAAATATCAACAAGATGAGCCATCGGAAAGAAAGGGACCATTGTACAAAACAGAAGGTGATCTTTTTCTTTCCACTTCGGATATTGAAATTATTATATACTGTGATGTGTTCGGCATTATGCTCTGAGAAATATAGATAAAGAACAACAGATATAAAGCATCCCAGGAAAAGAGAGGCCAATACCTGTGCTCTCTGATATTCATGAAAGTTACAACAAAATATTGTAATGTCATCTTTTGATCAACCTGAAAACTTTGTTAAAAGTAACACTCAACAATGCCACAGTCTCAGGGCTGATGCAGGCCCTGGGGCTCTTTTAATTTATTATTCTTTGTTTATCGTTCTCAGATCATATGAACGAACTCAGCTTGTATGTTTGAAATAATCGTCCAGTTGGCAAAATGATGATCGAAGACATTTCCCATATAATTTTACTTTCAAAATTATGATATATCTTTTATTTCTAAATATCCTATGATATTTTCAGTTTGTTATAATTAATTTTGTCTTGATCTAACATTATTCTTTTAATTTTTATTAATTTATTGTGGTGAAATTAATTTCTGTTGTATATTTGATATTGATTTAAACATATTTTTAAAAAATGGTGTATTTTTTGTGTTTTTGTGTATGTCATAATTAAAAATAAATGAAGAAATAATTTTTTTTATTTTTTTAAACTTCCTGCCATGCGTGACAATTTACTCCGTAGTTCCTACAAGCGAAATTGGGGGCGCTAGTAGCAGTAGACTTGTCAACAGTGTCAAATTTAAACGTCAATTTCACTTTCCAATATTTAGCAAGGCGCTCGCACTTCTTCTTGTGTATGTGTTTTGTGGCCGGTACCGTCTATCCGGTTCCGGCGTGTGTGCAACGGCTCTTATCGTGTTACAGACAGACGGACAGACAGACAGACTGACACCATGAAAATATTTTGTATTTAGGTCATTTATGACGCAAATAACTCATTTTGAGTGAAATTGAAAAAGCTTTTTTTTGTCGAATCTTAATAGCCTACCATACCTGTCGATATGGTCGGCTAAAAATAAAAAGTTCCCAAATCTATCACTTGAATCAAATAACTATCTACCGAGCTATCTACTCAACATGTTTATTTTTTGTCAATAATGTCATGTATTGATTATTTCCATTCTAAATATCTTGAGAACGGTTGCTCGCAGCGATTTTTACTAAGAGTCATTTTTTACGAATAAAATCACGGAAATGTATATTTTTTCACTCAATAGTTTTATACATTTACGGATGAAAAGTTATTACTTTTCAAACCAGTTTAAAAATATGTAGATCGCGCCCTCTACAAGTAGGAGTCATATTAACATCAAAATCAAATTTCTCATGTCAAACAACTCCCAGACACCAATTTTCATCTAAATATTGACGTTTTGACAGAAATTATTTGGAAAAAATCGAAATAAACATGAAACTTCTACACCCTGTGTATCCGAAATTAAGCATTTTAGAATATACATTTAAGCGAATTTTTTTACTGATTTTTATGAATATGCAGAATATGCTGACGAAGTTTCCGGAATACAGCCCAGACCACCCTGTATATAAAACCTCACATAAAACTGATATTTTATTTTTCTTTTTTTTTTTTTGAATGATAAAATTTTCACGATATTACCCATTGTAAACCAGCCACAAGGGTATTAAACATTACTATTAATACAATTTATCTATATTAAACCATGACTACTTAGTCTGTGTAGAAGTTTATTTAAATTAAAAATATTTTCCAGTTCCAATAATTCCGGAGTTCTTGTATGACATCAATCATCCCGAAGCTCCTTTGGATGGAGTGCCGCGAATAACAACAACTACTGCTGCGCCAACTAAAGAACCACCTTGCGAGAAGTATATCAAATTATTAAGTAAACAAGATCCTGAATTTAATGCATCATTGTATGCTACTACTACTAGTACATATGGTAAGTATCAAATAAAAGCACATAATGGTAAGTTTAAAAACATGTATGTAAAAATAAAAAATATTCAATATGAGAATGAGAATGAGGAAATAAAGGACAATGAATATCCAAATGTTTTGATGTTTCATAACTTTTTAATTTGTAATGCGATTTTTATGATTATGTTATTAGTTTGTAGATAAATTTGTTGGCATTATTTTTTATTGTTTTTAGTAGCTTATACAGGGTGTTTCAGAAAACATGTCCCATCTATAGTGGAGAGATTCCTCACGTAAAAATAAGATTTATTTTTCATATCAACATATGTCCGATTCTACTTTCTTTCGTAGCTACAGGGTGTTAAAATCTTAATATTTTTTCGATTTGTTATCATTTTCTTCCAAGTACTTTTAGCGTTTTGAATGAAATTTTAGGAGTAAAAGTTACTTTAAATTCGACATATTCTAAAGCTAAAGAAGTGTCGACATATTCACCAGGGACGTGAATATGAGTTTTCACTGGAATATTTTCCTAAAAAAAGCATGTACGCCACTGACTTTTTTTATCTTGTTAGCGAAATAATATAAGCAGTTTAATGCCGATTAAAAGTTGTCTCTTGATATTTTGTCGATATCGGCCTCCTTCATGAGATAAACGCAATTTTATTAATCACAATTAATAAAATCAATATAAAAATAAAATTAATAAATTATATATTTTACCTAATTTATTATTAAATAATAGTACCATTAGTTATTATTACTATTAGTCCAACCTAGAGTAATTTAAAATTAAAAAAATTGGTATTTAAGATAATTACACAAAAACTAATTTTAAAATTTTTAACATCCTGTAACTCTAAAACTATGCATTTCCATATCCATGTTTATAGGAACCTTTTTCATATTTTTTGATGAGGAATCAATGAGTATTTATTTAAAACTTTTGCAAGTTAATGATATTAACATTTTTTAAAGGTTGCTATTTGACTTGATCAAGGCAAATTATTAAGATCGCCTTTATTTCATCAAGGAGGCTGAAATCAGCAAAATATCAAGTGACAACTTTTAATCGGCATTAAATTGTTTACACTATTTCGCTAACAAGCGAAAAAAAATCAGTGGCGCACATGCCTTTATATAGAAAAATATTCCAGTGGTAACCCATATGCACGTCCCTGGTGAATATATCGACACTTTTTTAGCATTAAAATATGTTGTTGTTATTAATAACTTTTACCCTCATACACATTAACTTTTACCCTCAAAATTTCATTCTAAACGCTAAAAGTTCTTGGAGGAAAATTATAATAAATCGAAAAAATATTAAAACTTGAACACACTGTAGGTACGAAACAAAGGAGAATCGGACCTATGTTGATGTGAAAAATAAATCTTATTTTTACATGAGGAATCTCCCCACGAGAGATGTATACTTCGGTTACGTTTTACGTACGGTTTTTACCGGCGTAAATCAAAACTTCTATTTCTGCAATAAATCCAAAACACCCTGTGGAAAAAATGGGACGGACATTTTGGACAAAAGACATTTCTGTAATCTTAAATAGAATTCCTAACATTTCATTTTTTGAATTATGACCTACACATTTTTAAATAAAGTACTGATATTTTTACATTCTTAAAAATGGAGCTCTCAATGCCCACCGTTATATTGAGCATATCCTCCAAACAGTTGTCGTTCCTTTTGCTCCTTTCATTGGAAGTCAGTTTATACAGATGCATGATAATGCCAGGCCCCACATTGCGCGGGTTAACGTAGGAGTACGAGTAGTTAACGAGTACCTAGATGAGGTTGGACTACCAAGACTGGGAAGGCTTCCTTGTAGTCCGAATCCATTGTGCGATGAGCTTAAAAGAGCTATTCGTCGTAGTCCTATTCCACCACAAACTTCACAAGAGCTATGGCTAGCATTAACGGAGATTCCTCCGATTTTAGACTGTGACAGGTAATATTAGCCTTAGCTCTTGTTAAGGGTTTTCTTTATCTATAGCTTGAAATCCATCAAGTTATAGATTAAGAAAGGATAACTACCCATATTCCTTCGATACGACGAACACCTCGAGCAGTTATTGCTGCGAGAAGCGGACATACAGTCTATTAAAATTATTAAAAAAATATTATTTTAATTAATAAAAGAATCTCTGAAATCAATACCTTACTGAAAAATGTGTAGCTCATGAAAGAATAGAGATAATAGGATAATTCAGAAAATGAATGTTAGGAATACATCTAAGATTACAGGAAAGTGTTTTCAATCCAAAAAAGAAATTTATAACTATCTGATTATTTTATTTTTCTCATTAACAGTTTAATATGTATCAACAAACTTTGTAAAAAAATAAACCATAAAAATCATATTTATATATTGTACCATATCTCAGCAATTAGTTCTTCTATCTCTATTAGCTTGCTCTTCTACATTAAAATAAAAATTATATATTTAATAACATATATTTCTCTAATATTTCAGAAAACCTAACCCAGTTGGAATTATCCGAAAAAGAACAAAAACACAAATATCTAGTTCAAGAAACTGTTGAAGTGGGCATGCTGTTTGCCTCGAAGGCATTCGTGCAGTTAGTGACTAACCCTTTCGTGGGACCATTAACGCACAAGTAAGTAATTTAAATAAGTTACAGA